TAAAATTAGCCATTAAAGTAGGATATTATAAATACTGGTATATTATTTTGAATGAATAGAAACAATACTGACATTATAGGTGAGAGTGATGAAACTTGATGTATAGTAGGGGTTTCAGGTCACGTGACTTTAGCGTGAAATCAGACAGCCAGCGGCTGAAGTATAGCCCACTTCAATCTACAATTCTGAATTACTATTTTATGTAAATGTATAACTAGCAATTGCATTGTAATAGTTTAATATCAATTTCAATATCTGCAAAGATTCGGGCTCAAAAACTATCGAAATGCAAGCGAAATTACCATTTATTTACAGGAGACGCTCGCGGGAAAATACCGCTCTGACCTCACACGGCTCACTTCATTGGTGAATCCGCACGTTAGTTTCCGGGAGATTTTCATATAGAACCAATCAAACGGTAGATAACATTTTTGTGATTGTTATGGTGCGTGATATTCCTAGATCTGACAATTACAGCTGTAGAAAACGTGATTTATGTGTTTTTCTGACTGAAATTTGCTAAATTTCGACTAAATATAGCCTACTTTTTTTGTGGTATCATCCAGATTATAAATATTTAACATATTCAATTTATTACGATTTTAACAAATCTTAGCTGACTATAACGTGCAGATTTCAGTTTTAAAATTGGTACTAGCGATTCTGAAGGGAAAAAACTGCTTATGACGTCACTCAGATATGACTGAAAAGCATTTATTTTGGTGCCATGCCACGCATTGACTGGTATAGAGCATTTTGATTACATTATTGACGTTGATCTCGGACTTTAAAATTCCATAACTTTGGATCTAATTAGAATATTTTGATGAAATAAAAAAAATTTGGGTAGCATTTTATGTATATTTTCACAAAATATTTAGAAAAAATTTTTTTCCTGTCATTTGAAACTTTGACCTTTGGATCTAATTAGAATATTTTGATGAAATAAAAAAAATTTGGGTAGCATTTTATGTATATTTTCACAAAATATTTAGAAAAATTTTTTTTCCTGTCATTTGAAACTTTGACCTGAAACCCCTATGTATAGATTCTTTACATCAATACCTTAACTAAGTTTGATGATGAGTGTTTTCTGCATAGGCCAAATACAGATTTCAATTTGATTGGTTTAGATGTGGGAACACGATTTAGACTTTGGAACAAGATAACTTTGATTCTAATGGAACTTGGATTATAGGTTTCAATACATCAGTACCATGACTAAATTATAGTCTTGGTAAGTTAATTAATGTCTAAATTAATAATTTATATAACATTTAAGGCATAAAGAAAGACCTTAGCTTTTGCATAATACTGGTACTTCAAAACTGTCTCAAAGTTTTCAGTCAAATCGTCATTAAATTCTACCTTGCCCATCCAATCGTTTTTTTCATCCCATCCAAATGTCTAAACTCTGTCCCTTGCCAGGTCCGTCGTCCTGCACCATTGACAAAGGGAAACCATGCTTGAAAATTCTGGGGAACTTTCTTGGCCAACCTCAGGATTGAATCACGGACACCAATTGCCTCGAACATTTGATGTGTCCTGTCAAGTAGATATTTAGTACAATAATCATATGTTTGTTGGAATTTGTTTGATAGTTGAATCTGTAGCTTTCACTAAATTCTCCAAAGTTGGAAATTTTCAAAGAAAAATAAATGAAACAAAAATCATCATTTTAATAATTTGCTTTACAGTTGGCAAGTTTTTAAAACAAAATTGATAGATAACTGATTTTTGAGAGATTACTGCTATTAGTAGTTTGTAGTGTGTTCTAGGCTTTGATGCAGATATAGAATTGGAAAAATGTGCACGTTGATTGTTTAATTTAAAAGCTGTAGCTTTAAGTCTTGTTGTCCTGGTAATATTCTTGATATTTATCAAAAAAGCATTAAATAAATATTAATAATATTTTTAGTAGTCATTAATTAATATTTACAGTTGTAATAAAAAGCTTTTCAGCTTATTTAAAAAATGTCTGCTTTAAGTTTGATTGTTACTAGATAGGTTTCAGGACTCACTGTTGGAATGATTATTCAAAATGTATAAATATAAAATATGGAAAGAAGTTGAATTTGATATGAAAAAGGAGAAAATGTTGGAATAGAATGGCTTGACCTCATTGCCTTTGGAGTAGATTAATTACATAACTACATAAAAAATTGTTTACAGGAAGTTGATGGAAAATATTCTGGATTCTGGTACTGTAGAATTATATCTAAAACATACATGTAGGCCAAAGTTCTGGAGAGAATGGTGTGGAAGTACATGCATTCTTTCTGAACCACAGTCATCTGGGATTAGATTGTGTTAAAAAAATCTAGTCAAAATTGACCTTGAATAATAGGTCAATAATTAAAAAAACACATTTGAATGAATAAGTGGATTGTTCAAATCAGAGATGAGCCTATTAACGATTAAATCGGTATCAACCAATAATTGTGTTATCGGCACATATCAATACAGTGGACTCTGTCACATACGACATCTGAATAATACAACATTCTGTGAAATCCGACATCATTTTCATGTCCCGATTTATTTCCTTATTACTTGCTACACTCATGGAGTCCATGGTGTCCAAAACAAATGCAACTGAAGATGATTTTATCAGTTTTGACAATGGAATTCCGAGTGTGACGACGACCTGGACATAGAACGACAGGTTATCAATGAACATGTGACAGCAAAGACAAGTGTGCAATCAACTGAAGACAGAAACAACGAAGAAGATAAATTACTGGCAGACTTTACCTATTCAAAATGCATATGCATGCTAAATAAAATAAAAACATTCGCCCAATAATACTTGCCGACACTCTGCGTAATCCAACATATTGTAACGATCCCGTACGATGTCGGATTTGACAGAGTCCACTGTATTTGCTGATGTCCGTTTTTACCGATGTTCAGAGTCTGACTGATATCCAGAAGTATATTTTCCCGATCAGAAATTTATCAACTGAACGGAAAAATAGCTGCCATGAATAGGAATTTAATTTAATTTTTCATTTAATTCAAATGATGTGAAATATTGACATACTGGTAACTGCTTCAAAAGATAATGCATCAAAATCTATTACGATAATTTTGGTGATTCAAAGCTGCCATCACATCGCAGAATGGTGGGATCTATATGATTTGAAAGTCAATGAAAAGGATTCAAGCAAAAAAGTAGAATTTACAATATGTCACACTCAGTAACATTGCCTATGTGTGTAAATCTGTTGTGAAACATATTGTAAGACTTCAAAATGATGACCAGCGTTTGGTTCTGACATTTAAAGTATATTACAGGTAATGATTAAAGAATGTTAAAACACCTATAATATGTCTAAATATCTATTAACATAATTAGTATAGAAATTATCGGTATCAGTATTTTTCTGATAACAAACATGTTGGCCCATCTCTAGTTCAAATTAAATATATTACCCTGACCCCAAAATTTCATGATAATAATGTTGTGATGACTGACCTTATGTATTGTAATTACTTACTCATTCGTCTGTAAATAGGGTTGAACTATATTGCTTAGTGAACTAGTTTTTGAACACAGACCTCGAAATGTTAAAAAAAAGCTCCGCTGGCGACAGGTAGCTTTTTTCGTACTTGACACTTCAGCAACTAACATGTCACTCCAAATTTTCCACATAATACATTATCCATACATGTGGACAAACATGCTAAAATGGTGTTGGTCCTTATTTTGATCCATATGAATATTGTAATATAAAACAGTTTTATTATACGCCCACATTTTCATGTGGACGTATATTGTCGTCGCCCCTGTCCGTCCGGACACAATTGTTTGTGGACACTCTACAGGTCACAATTTTTATCCGATTTCAACTAAACTTAAAAAATGGGTTTATCTCCCTAAGATCTCGGTTCCTTTCGATATTGGCATGTATCGGACAGTAACTTCATGGATTATGTCCCCTGATTGTACAAATAATTGCGTTTTTAGCTTGTGGACCCTATAGAGAGTGATGAAACTTAGTGTATAGGTGATAATCTGTTTGATTACATGATACTTTTAAAAAAAAATTTTAGGTGAGATTAATGAATATGTGTCATCTATTTATTTTGGGATTTCGGCAGATGACATCAGCCTCACTGTTGGCTTATTAAAATTAGTCCACATGTCACAAGCAGACAGGTAGTTTTACTCACTATCTGTCGGATGTAAATCTCTGCCTGATGGTGACAAGTAGGCAGACAAACATTTTGAGCCCTGCGGTAAGGAAGATATTAATAAAAATGAGTAGGAAAATAACTTCATGTATAAACAGAGATTGCCAGAGTGATGTTCCTACTGATGTATTGGTAGTTCTAGTGTACTGCATTATCAATATCCTATTTGATATGTATAGATGATGTATTTGATAAAGTTATGGCTGATTACAGTATTTTAGATGTTAATGACAAAATCAGGGATGGAAAGTTTACCAATTATTAAAGGGAATTTATATGATATTACTGTATTTTTATACAACCTCTTCTGCGATAATTTATAAAATAATTTAGTTTAAAAGTATGTCCATTTCTTTCTGCTTCAAGCAAGGCTGATAAAATGTCTTGTATTTTCTTGGCTAATAGTGTTCTGGAAAAATGAAAACCTGATGGTATAGATCTGCCGTAATAACCTAGGTTGAGTTATATTTTTCATTGTCGTTTTGATGATACAAGTATTTTTCTGAATTTAATTCTTTAACTCTGCTGCCTGTCCCTTTAAGCTCCTGATATGGATGAATCAAAGTCTATTAAGTGACTATTTATAAAACATATGATAAACATATATATTCAATATCCCTTTTAAGTATCCTTTTCTATACAACTTGGTAACAGCGTTGCTAATAGAACTGGATAAATAGACTATAGTGACATTACCTTCCTGGTATACATATAGTTTTATTACATACAGGGTAATATTAAATATACCGTATGTTTATTATGCTTTACATGGTTAGACAGTCAATACGCGGATCATGTCTTAAGTAAAGTCTTCCTTTACTGAGGACTTTGGTCTGACTGACATTTTGTTTCTTGAAAACATTGAATCTAAGAGTGTGAATTTTAATACATTTTTATCTCATTGAGAGTATAGTGTATTATTAGAAAGTGGATTGGGGATTAGATATCACCCAAGATTTAAACCTTTTATCAGGATGTCGAAAGTTTTATCAATATTCACAACAGGGTTAGATATTACATGTATCTTGTGATTTTCTTTCTCGATAATCAGTGTATGGATAACATGACAAACTAGAGATAGGTTTTAATGAAGGCTAGATTAAGAATGTGTTTTAATCATTTTTTCATGTTGATGATGATGAGGATGATTGATGTGTAATTTGCCATGTCAGTTAAATGTACAGAGAGCCAAAAAAATCTGTTAAAATCAATCAGTGTGTGTAAGACTAATGTCTAATGATAAGGACTCCTTACTTTAATACTGGATATGATTTAAGGTGTGTCATGACATGTAACATAGATAAATTGAAGGATGTATATCTGTGTATGTAAATAAGCTAGACATATATTTAGAGATAGTGCGAGTTGATTATTTTTGGTCATCAAGTGATTTGATAGTGTACACTCAGTAGTTACTACTATTAACCACATCCATGTGTTCGTGTTTGAAGCGCTTGTTTTCATACTCGGAAGATGAGTATGAATTATCGGCTGAAATTTCTACATCTACGGCCAATTTGACAGAAATAACACAGGTGAGATATGAGGGCTTGAATTAGGATGTTAGAGCTAAATTGACCTTAATCATAGCTCAAACAAGGAAGTTTAATAACGGACTACTACAACTGAAATTTCAGAATATATATTTTAATGTTTGATAAATTGACTTCTAATTTGATCCATCATGGACTGAGAAACTCTGGGCATGGATAGACTCCGCTTGAAGATATCATATTTTTGATCCTACTTCAAATGGCCCACAGAGAGTGAAGAAGGGTATGACTACAAAATTGGGGGAAATAAATACTTATAAGTTATAAACGATGGACATTTTGGTTTTCCGTGGCATAACAAATGCTGGGAATATGTAAACACCCAATAGAAGATCCACGTTGTCATTTGTCATAGGAAGTGAAGACAGCAATTATCTGGATGACAGAAACTAAAACCTTTAGTTTGGGGATTTTATTTTTGCCTTGGGGTGGGTAAAAGATGCATAGTATAATTTGATGGGATGAAAAACAACAAGAGACAAACCAAACTGTATATATAATCTTAAAAAAACAAAACAACTGAGTGTTAACTTAAAGCCTGATTTTCACTGGCAGTAATTGCTGATCAGTAAAAGATTTCTTCTTGAACACAAAGTTCCTAAATATGACCAATTGATAGAAAGTTTAATTCCTTCTTTTCGAAATGTAAATATGTCAGTTAAATGTAGATCTGTACAAGTTTTCACGATTCTAGGATTATTGTCAGCCCAATTCTGATCTATTTGTTGCCATTAAAATTCTTATCTCCGATTACCCTATTCAACTCAGCATTCTTTCACTATAATTGTCAATGACAAACAAATTCGGACATCTTCAAGTGGGTTAATGTAATTACCTTATGTTGTCAATATAAACAGTTTATTTATAGTAACAAAATGGCTTCTTTATATCTTTATTGTCATGATATGCAAATATTTTTTCCCAAATTGATAATTACACAGTAATAAAAAAGAAAGTCGGTTATTATTTATAAGGTATAACAAATACATTTAAATTTTAACACAAAAAATGTAAGCTGAATAAAATAAAATCCCTGGAATTTGCCTCATCAACATGAGGAATATTGCTTGGGTTTTTTTGAATGAAATTCTATACCTGGAACCATATTATATTGTTACATCCAACTGAATAGTACTTAGGCTCTGGGGATCAAACAAAGTCAGTTCTTCATTAAATGAAATATATGTTAATTGAGTGAGATGACACCATTCACTGGAAACCGAATCTGCATGTTGTTGATTACTAAAACTTTATTTTTAAAATTGAAAAGTGTCAAAAATATTTTCAATATTTCACATTATTCCCATTTCATATGTTGAGTCATCGTATGTGTAAAACATTCTATAGATAAGGAAAGATTTTGTCACTATTGAAATAAAAAAATATAATGTATTCTAAATTAATTTGATATTAACAAAAGATTGCACAAATCAGGAACAATTCCTGCTTACTTGTTATTATATATTGTGTTCAATCAAAGCCTAGCCATGCATAACACAAAGTTTAAAAAAATTGTCACTTTTTCAAAATATGTGTAATATCACTAATATGTACATTTTCCACTGCCCTTCATATTTCATTTTCACTCCTCAATAACATGACCAATTGCTCTTAAATTGTGGTATTTTGTGCTTAGTATTTATTAGTAATAAATTTGTTGTGGTGGTATATATTTTAGTTTCGAAAAATGGTATGCTACAAGAATATGTTATGTAGTTGGATGATTATTTTGTGTGTCAGATGTTATTTTATATTTAGCTATATATATGAATTGACCATGTAAATAAGTGTAATTTTATCTATTTTTAGGCTAGTGCTGGACACAGCGAGATTATGTCAGGACTCCATAACTGGTATGCCTGTTCCCATGCCCGCCCAACCTATTGTAACGTTTGTAAAGAAGCCCTGTCTGGTGTCACGTCTCACGGTTTATCTTGTGAAGGTATGTATTGTAATCTGTTACACACAGTTATAATTTTAAATTCATGGTATTGAAGTAAGATCAAAATCTGCATGTCTTGGGTCTTTATTTTGGCTTCAAATGTTATATAAATGATTATTTTGACATTTATTCACATGACAAGCCTATAATCAACTCTCTAGGCCATCGGATGGCCAAGATTTAAATTTAAACATCTACGAGATTTAAAAACAATAAAATGGATAATTGAGACTAAGTCTCTGTTGTCAATAACCGTTGCTATGATTCTAAACGATCTACGCTTTATCTTCAAACAGCCATAACTTTGCTCAGAAAAAAATGATTTGAATAAAATTTTCAATATATTCATTTTTTGAACTTACAGCAAGAATGGTCAGCTCTTTGTCTAAATCTTACATAATGTATCTTTAAGCACAAGGAATTTAATTTGCAGTGTAGATCAGATATTTGTCAAGTTTCCTCAAACTGATCCGGTTTAGATGTAAAATGTGTTTATGATGGTTAATAGGGTTTGTTGAAGAGCAGGCGTGGCCCTTGAAAGTTCTTGACCTCAATGTACATCTGACTATAGAAACCCAAACTGTCCTGTATTGAACTATATTGTATTTATAAGATTCTAAAAACACATAAACCATTGCAGAATCAATAGAAGTTATATGTGGGTAAAATCGCCTTTTCATATGCTAATTATAAGAATATTCAGTTGACATGCCAAAATAGAAGAAAAAATGAAATTGAGTGAATAACTCTTGAGACTAAGGATTTGAACTACATCAAAGACATATCATATTTTACTCTTTTCGTGTTACTGTAGAAAATCCACCTAAAAATGGTGTCACATTTCTTTTATGATAATACCCAAAATAGCTCGGAAGTTTTAAACATAAGACACATGTAACACTTGCATATTTGGCATTAAACCAGTGTTAATGACAACCTCTCACTTCAAATGATATCTGGTGGTATTTGTGTCACTATACTCGTAAATCTCATTCTACATGTCCTTCAAAACTACACCCCCGCCCCACCGTATGTCAATGTCAGATTTTTTTATTCTTTAGTAGAGTAAAAGCACACATACATTATTATATATATACAAGAACAACACATGCACTTCTCAAATAATTAATGTGACTGCCACTGACATTCTTAATAGGATGCATCACATTTTTAACTATATAAACCCACCACCGACTCCTAAATAAAATCATAATGTATGGTATGGCTTTAGTTAGGCATCAATGTGTTCTTTCTATAAAAAAATCCAATCAGTACTGTCTTCATCAATTTGTTTGCATAGAATTGCTGGCTTCAGATTAAATCTGATGAATTTGTGGAGAGAAAATCTTTTTGTAATTTCTTCCATTGGCAGGAGAATGGAGAAAAACATAAAGCACATTAATTTTTGTCATTTCTGAATTCAGAAGGGATATTTTGACTTTCAGGACAAGCAATGTTCATTCCAAGAAGTTCACCCAAATGTAAGGCTGTAGTTACATTTAAGTCAGATATGATTGTTATATAGAAGGCATTTATGAGCTATTTGATACATGTTATTTTGTGGTGATGTTTAGGTCTGGGTGTTACAGTAAACAAGAAATATATTACACTTTAATACAACATACATTTATAAGTTTCTGTTGACTTTAAGAATAATTTAGTCTCAAATTTCTATGCATAATAAAATATATTGTTTATTTTCCTGTTCAAACCTGAGATATGACTAAATATTACCTTACATGATGGCCTGAATCTCATCTATGTGTTCGATGTCTTTTCAATACTTTTTTTTTGTGCAGACATACATGCTACATAAAAATGATAAGGTATCTAATAATACTCAAAATACATTATACTCTTTGAGGCATTTGTGTACAATTTTCTACATCACACATTTTTTTTCAGTTTGTAAATATAAAGCACATAAACGATGTGCTGTTCGAGCACCTGTAAATTGTAAATGGACGTCACTAGCATCGATAGGAAAAGATATAATTGAAGATGAAGATGGAGTAAGTACATATTCCCAAACTTTTTGAAAGTTGTATAATTGAATGTTTTAAAACAAAAATATTTGGTAGATTAAATAAAACATGTTTATGTGATATGCGATTTTTATGAATTTTTATGTTGTAATGATTTGGATATTGATGATATTTTTACAACAATGATACAGCTTAAACTTTCATCCATGATTATTCATATTTTATATCTATCATCCAACCCAGTTTGGATCTGCGTATTTTCTATCAAAATTAATCAGTGCCTAGAGGTTGTATGATTTAATCATGAAGTGGCTATCTTTAAATTAATCAGTTACTTACTTTATCGCATGGTTATATTTATAACGCACTATTATATATGAGATTATTCATTGATTAAAAAAAGTAAAACATGTGGATGGTAATGATGCAATACATTTATCTCATGACACAAATAAGGATGTGAACATCCTTCACAGTTTCATACTTCACCAATGTCACAATATAATTAGCCTTTATCTTTATTGCCTGTGTCAAAATGATGACCATTAAGAGCTTAAATATGGTTTGTAATGAAGAGTAGGGACATGTATACCTTAACTCTTTGAACCTGACTTGCCAGTTATAATACCGTATATTAATAATCCGCAAATCTCCATCCACGAATGCATGCTCAAACCATGAAATGCAGTGAATATACACTATGTAATTATCTTCCATCTTTTGTTCCCCTGTAGCAGGCGTGGTCTTCAATGATGAATGAGTTGAAATGCTTTGTACAGATCCTAAATGCCAACATTCAGATATAATTATATGTTTATATGGAAGATATTTGAGTTCATTATTTTGCCACTTTATGATTGCCACTTTATTCAGTTACATACAACTTGCTTTACTAACAGAATCACTCAGAATATCTCTTATAATTTACCGGTTTATTCCTCTAGAATGGACCCTGTCAATTCCGACATTGTCCTAGAAATATCTCGTATGAAATATGATAATTTTTTTTCCAGATCTCAATGCCTCATCAATGGTTAGAAGGAAACTTACCTGTTAGCGCCAAATGTCTAGTCTGTGATAAAACATGTGGAAGTGTTTTGCGTCTGCAAGATTTACGCTGTCTCTGGTGTCGAGCCATGGTAAATTTACCCTGATGCTCATTATTATTTAACAGTATAACCTGACTCTTTAAAAAGTTGATAAAATACATAATTTACAAAACTAAACAGACAATTTTTGAAATGAAGCTTGTAAATAAAAGAATATTTTGTTTCTGCATGAAAAATCAAGAATAAACTTATTTATGATATGCTTATATGATATAATATACTATTCCTAACAAAAGAATTCAGATGAGAAATGTTGTTTGTGGGTATTTTTCAGGTACATACCTCATGTAAAGATAATTTTCCCAAACGATGTCCATTGGGTCAATGTCGCGTTTCTATTCTACCTCCTACTGCTATTAATAACATCGATTCAGATGGCTATTGGGAAGCCTCACGACCTCCAAGAACCAGTCCCTTGTTAGTTTATGTTAATACAAAGAGCGGTGATAATCAGGTAGGGTATTAAAGAGAATTGAGTAAATTAATCTTTTGTTAATTATTCTTCAAAGGACTGACTTTTCTGGTTCAAATTGTTTGATTTACTAAAATGTGGGGGATCACGTGGCTAAGTGGGTAAGGCGCTGGCTCGCTAGAAATGGTTCCACTACTGATGTCTTCCGCCTTACTGCAGCCACAGTAGTGGCTCGTCCTACAGAGTTCCTTTGCGCATGTTTTTAAGTCAAATGACTACAAAAAATTTACTGGCCTATAGCTCCCTTAATTTACACATAAACTGACCTAAAACAGTACTGCACATAGCTTAACATATAATAAATCAATTCCTATTGAAATAAAGGTGAAGCCTTACCGCATAATTATATGATTTGATGAAACCCAACTGCTACACGAAATTTCAACTGGCCGGTGTCATGGCGGCTTGCGTAATACGTCATTACAAGAAACATCGCTATGCAAATGTAGAACGCATAACCACAAAGAAAAACTGTTCGGTAACTATTTTAGTGGTCCAGTCACTATTTGTCATAGAATTACTTATTCTATTATGCGTTTGAACCTATTTGAACTTGTGTAAGTAGTCTTAGACTGTATCAATTGTAACGTTAAACACACAGTTTAACGTTACAAGTATAGTAACTAGCTGGCTTGCTAGCCTGGAGGTCGGGTGTTCGATCCCTGCATTGGCCGAGAAAGTTCATCCAGATTTTCCAGTGTGGTTCCCCCTTGTCAGTGATGCAGGACGGAGGGCCTGACAAGGACAGCTGTGTAGTCCTTCGGATGACACAAAAAACCGAGGTCCCGTGTATATATTGGAATGCACGTAAAAGCTCCCCTGGCAGTTGGAATTCGATATAAGAGTAGGCGATAGTGCCGCTGCCTGGGCAAAATTTCCCTCATAGCACACTGTATGGCGTATGCCCGTCTTCATTAGCCCAGTATAGGAGCAGAACAGTAGGACCATAAACCCCATTTCATTTCATTTCATTTCACTAAAATGTGATTTATTTTAGTATTTCTTATATACGAAAGTACAAAGGCAGTAAACTGTAAATGTATGTGGTTAATTAAAAATAGGCTGTGTTGTTTCTTTTAATTTATTTTCAAACCTTTTATTAAGATTCATATTTTGAATTTCAGGGTGTAAAATTTTTAAGGCGGTTTAAACAGTTATTGAATCCAGCTCAGGTTTTTGATCTCATGAATGGTGGACCATATCCCGGGTGAGACCATTATATTATATACATAGTTTCATGAACAAAATAAAGAATGATCCCACTCAGATTCAACAACAATTTATTTTGGGTTTGAGTCTTGTGTTGACTGTCAAAGACAAAACGTCAGACCAGGTGGATATTCAGTTAATGTAACATAATTGACCGAATGATCCAAACTTATTAATACAGTTTGACCTGTAGGTTAGAACGGGAATTATTTGGATATCTGAATTCAATATTTGAACGATGTTGCTTCATTATTATTTTTTAGGCTAAGATTGTTTCAGAAGTTTGATTCATTTCGTATTTTAATATGTGGTGGAGATGGAAGTATAGGATGGGTCCTGTCAGAAATAGATAAATTAGGTCTACATAAACAGGTACTGTAAATCATGAAAATTTGTTATTTTGAAAGCAATGTAGTTTTATAATTGTTTGTGCATAGTTTGCAAGAAAATGAATTTTGTCCTGGGATGGTATTGGAGGCTCCATGCTGTTTATTAGATTTTTAGTCGCTATTTCCAATCAATGTGGACCTACATAAAAGTAAATAAACAAAAACATCTTAAAGAAACAAGCCAGTTTGTTGAAATATAATATTCCCCTATCTTCATTAGCCCAGTCATTGCACAGTAGGACTTTAATCCCCATTTCATTCCATTTCAAATATATTTCATATCTCAAAATTAAAATATGTATGTTTATTTAGAGATGATTTTATTATGTAATGGAGAACATCCAAGTATAAAAAGAATGACCTTGCTTTTACTAAAAAGATATAAGAAATATTATTACTTTATTTGTCTTAGACATAAAAATGACAATATGAAATCAAAAGAAACAAATGTAAACTTAAATGGCCATAACAGAATTAATTGATTTGAGTATTTTTTGTGTATATGGTTTGATTGTATTGGGGATTTATTCAGGCCTCAAAATGTTTAAAAAAAGCAACAGGTAGCTTTTCTTCATACCTGTCGCTTCAGTAACTAACCCGTCACTCCCAATTATCAAAGACAAATCACATCACACATATCCATACATGTAGGTACACAAACACTTTTAAATTGTTTAGGTCTGTAGTACATTGCGTCATATAAATGTCGTAATATGAAACCTTTTTATTTCTTCGACATTGGAATGCCTAAAACTTCTTGAAAGTTTGTGAATCTGCTTTGGCTCAGCGACTCAAAGATTCATGCAATTCTATCATCCATATCCACTTGAATTCTGCCAAGCATCATGGTACCAAACTTGCGTGCTGAATTTAATACTTTGCCGTTGAGGTGCAGAATTCAGATTCTAAAATATCTGTAATGAATTGAATATTGAAACATGAATCAAACCTGTGCATGATACCGTATTTACTTCTCACATATTATCCTGTCTATATTTACACTACAAATAAATTGTATATAGCCTTTATTTATGGAAATCGTTTTAAACTTTTTAAATGATTAAATACACCAGTCAACGATCCGTGTGCATTTCCATTCCTGCGACCACTACATATATTTACTGTGGTGTCGGTACGGTAAAATTATTTCAGATGAATCAGGGGTGTGTTTTAGTTTATTTAGATATAATGCTTCATAATGCTATAAGCTAGTGTCAAGCAGATGAAAACAAGCATAGATGGTGTGAAATTCTTTGTTATAAAATTGGCTACTTCCAAACTGTGTGAGTAACTGTAGCCTGCGACAGAGCGAAATGTAAACAATACAAATGGTGGCTTTTCTCGGTATTTCTGTGCCTAATTCTTGCATTTAGAAACCAATAATTAAACCTACATGATGTGGACATGAGTATTGTGGTAGTCTGAACATCAAGTACAATTTAGTCCACCTATCGCAAGCGACAGGTAGTTTTACTTGCTACCTGTCATTTCGAGCAATGGCTTTAATAAATGTTGACACTGATTTTAATATGTTATTGTCTATATGTTACAGTGTCAGATAGGCGTATTACCGTTTGGTACAGGTAATGATTTAGCTCGTGTATTAGGATGGGGAGCAGCTTTTGATGATGATACTCAGTTACCTACAGTGCTAGAAAAAATGGAACATGCACAAATCAAAATGTTAGATAGATGGAGTATATGGACGTATGAAGGAAGTATGCCACCACCCCGAAAACTTTCACAACAGGTATGGATATGTACCTATATTATTTATTTATAAGTTAAACTCCGGCTCATATGCAGACCGTTTGATATATATGGAACAATGTTGGACAATGTTTTGGGAGAATGGCATCTGTTCATGAATTTTGGTGGATATAGGTCACTGCAGAAAAGGGCTAAACTAAGTTTTTGTATTTTAAAGATATTCTGCTTAGAAATTCTAAATCTGATCACATATTATCCACTGCATTATAATGTATTTTTGTGTCATGTAATTTTAGACAGATCCTATTTCTCAGTATGAAGATTCAATGGCTGCCCATTTAACCAAGATTTTACATTGTGAAGATCATCAAGTTGTTATATCATCTGCCAAGTAAGAATCCATCCAGTTTGTTTCTAGCGTCATCAAAAATGGGCCACGTCACAAGTTTTAATTTTAAAAGAAATAAAAATAAAAACAAAGTTATTAATTTCCGCAATTTCCCGCAATCAAGGGGAGTAACTCTGTTAAGCATTTCTTGAAAAGTGGAACTGAACAATAGACTTGGCTGTTGAGTACGTAACCATTCGATACACTATTAACAATCACATACGGCACTGGATAATCGATTGTTAATTTGTTATTACACAATGATGGCGACAATTTTGCTGTCAATCTGTTATTTTTTACGATCAAAATGCGAAAGTATCTTTCCCGAGAACTATAACTGTGAGAGAGATGATGGAAAATATTCTCCGTGGGGAGATTGAGGGTGCAAACATTGATTTTAATCACCAGTAAAATCCATGGTTTAACAATGAGTATGGTAACTATACCAACTAATGGTCAACAAAAAAAAAAACCACCCTGCGCTTTTGAAAACATTTTCCCCGAACTTAATCTAGATAATGTCATGGAATTATTCGGACGTTATTTCAAAATCTTTGAAATGTTTTTTTTATGTTTTTCTTATCAAGAGTTAAATAAATAGTATATTTATACTAATTTTGTGTGTTTCTTAAAAATGAAAAACTAGCTAGATTCCCCCCCCCTCCCAAATTGAAAATTGCTGTCCGGCATTAGTTTTTGAAAAAGGACTGTCTTGAGAACCAGAATATTTTTTTTGTGTGGCCTAATACATTTATGCTTTAAAAACAAAATAAACCCTCATTCATTATGTAACATCAATGTCAGTTATTCCAACTGATGTTTAGGTTAATCTTGTCCTTTTGGCGCTTGCTGGAAGACAATGATAAACAACATAATTAACATTGGCATATTTACAACCTTCTTGACCAGTAATCTGTTTTTCTCTCCCTTTTGAGGTCACCTCATGCTTCTAGTCCATAAATGTTAAAATGCCCCATGGGCATCATTCAAATATGCACTTCAATATCATGAGGACTGGAAATATGTTTCCTAATGAAGTTTATAGAGGATGATTTTGAAAGATACATGTGACTTTGACACTGAATATAGCTTTCCTCCTCAAGGTCTTTGGTTGTGTAATAGAATTAGATGCTAAATTTGTTATTTGTAGAGTGTTGTGTGAAACTGTGAAAGACTTTGTAGCTAAAGTAGGTCAAGCACATGAAAATGATGGAGAGAAAGAATCTGAAGAATGTATAGCCAATAAGGTAAGCTATAACACTGAGAAGTAGTAAAGGTGAGATTTGTATGTTTAGGGCATAGATATCTCCCGATTTGATAAATTTCTATGAATATCGGTAAAATTCTAATTATCGCAACAAATCTAATACGAAGAGGCTAAAATCTGTAGGTACGGTGTGTTAATTAACAGGGGTGAGAAATTGACTGAGTGGTGATATAATTATCGCTAGGGGTGAAAATCTCGGCGACGGTGCGTTTTCTGTACCGGTGTGTTAATTAACGAACGGGTTAAAAACGACTGACATGATGTGTATTCTTTGTTTGGTGAGTTTTCTTGAAAGCGTGTTATAACTGCACCAAAGGTGTTTTATCAAAGACCAATAGGCTTTATCTGACGCGTAGGTGTTAAATCCACAGTGCGATTTCTTGTTTCTGTGTGTTTTAAGCAGATCGGTCTTCGTTAAGTGTAGGTCTTTATACATGGATTTATACATGCTGTAGTTACATGTTTGTTCTTATACGTATTTCATTTCTTGGTGAATACTACGTGTTTTATACTTCGTACCATAGTCGGGCTGCAATTATTTATATATTTGTCTTTTTTGTGGGTTTAATTTGTTTATATATTATCGTGCGTACCACTGAAGTATAAATGCGTGTGTCTTAAAATCAGTCGCATGCAATATCGTTATTACCGATATCCCGCTAAACCTTCATATGATTATCTGATATATTCTAATCTCTATTGATATCAGATGCTCTAATCTGTTTTGAAAGCACAATAAAATAAACAAAAGATCTCGCAATTAATGATAACCTGTAAGTTTCGTCACCGTTATATTTTATAAATGTATTTCTTACCTGGGTCGTAAATAGGGCTTTCCAAGGAAACCGAATTCCATCACTATATAACAATAGATAAATCACATACCAAATAACACTAATCATGTCTAATAATAGGAACTCACGTCCGCCTCCAACACGTGGAGCTGACCGTCGAACATCTTCTGGTATGCTCTGATTCCATCACACTTTGTGTAACAAGCTTGTCTTTGCATACACAATTCCGACCTATGGAAATATGGGTTTTACGAGAACGGCTAAATTTAAACACATCACTTAATAGTGGATTCAGTCTCATCCTTATTATAGAATTTATACTATCAGGAGAGCACGCTTTTCACACGAAATATTGCCCTTTGATCTCAGACCCCCTTTGATCTCAGACCGAAAGGTGACACTGTTAATGGATTTCCTGAAATAGTTGGATGAAGTGTGACTCTTTTTACCTGTTACACTTAATTCAAGAATGACATACTGTGGTCTGTTCAGTGTTGGTCTTATTGCAATGACATAAATGTATGTTTTACTTCTCCATCATCTCATTTGAATAAAGCTTGATATTTTATCAACATGTATACAATTTATTTTGTTTCTCATAGGAAATTTCGGTTAGTATTTCAAATGAAAAAAAAAACAGCCCAAGAGATTATATTATAATCAGAGAAATGTTCAAACACACAAGTAAAATAGACAAGACAAAGGTACAAACAATACCATTATTTATTATTACATTATTGATATGCATATGCCTTCATATATTAAACGTTTTAATTAAATTGTAACGTATAAATTATCTGTTTTATTTATTTTTTCTTTAATTGGCAGTTGATATGGGCCGAAGCATTCGCTTCTGTGCGTATTAGCTCTGCTCCCATAATGATATTTTGTGTAATATTAGGGCGATTCAAAAGAAACATGGTCAACAAGTGGAATTTAAGAGTGAGCTAGAAGGAAATATTCAAAAAGGCAGTCAATTCTTTTCGAAGAGAATGAATTATTTTGATAGTTAAACCGTGGCTTCATATGGCTTGTAAAATATACAAACATGACTAATCGGATATTATTATTTCAAATTGTACTATCACCATTGATGGGAAATGCAAGAATGAATCAAATAGCGACGATTATCGAGTGAGAATAAGGTGGTCCACCATTTGCTACATTTACCAGCGCCAAAATTCTCTAAAGTGATCGATGAGTATGGGTATAATTGTAAGCATATCTTACAAATAATATCAAAACTGAGTATAATTGTAAGCATATCTTACATATAATATCAAAATTTATATCCTATCTGGGATTTCGATTCCGATACATTTACGGTACTTGAAAACAACAAGAGGGATTATAAGATTTAAATACAATGAAATACTAACTATTACATTATTATCATGTGGTACTTAAGTTAGAGGACTAAGTTATTTTTCTACAGTATATTTCAAAACAAAAAAATTGTCGTATTGGAAAAAATGTATGCGAAAATTTGATGCCTTTGGTTGTACTTCTTCTTGAATTTGTTAAATTATTAAACGTATTTCCAAGTCACATAATATTACAACACAAACTGCCATCAGAGCAGGAAGTACGCTTTGCTGAACACCAACTCGGATCACCGTTGACCTAGATGTTATATAACAACTGTTAATTGCCAGACTTTATTAGGGGTAATAAATTAATTATTGCCCCAGCTCAACAATTTTAGTGAATGTGTTTTATCTTAGTTAAGATTTCGAGAAACAGGGCCCAGGTACACTTAATTTATCAGAACACAACAATAATTTTCTTGAATGAACCTTGGTTTATTAAAATTCAAAATATGACCCTGTAAATTAATATAGATGTGTTGTGTATCTTATTTCAAAACCGTAATTTGTCAAACGAATAATTAATTACATCAAAGGTGTATAAGAAATTATTGTTGTTCTGAAATAGTTTTCTTTATCAAATTTATTAATTAAGCTGTTAAAACGTCAAATTCTGGACATAATGTGTGCTATGGACGGTTCTAAAAGTTGAAGACTTTTATGACGTGGGACTCAATTTAGCATAATATATGGCCGGAAATATTGAAAATAAAGCTATTTAAATTTAAAACTATGACTTTAGAATACATGTATAGTGAAAATGTTGAAATTGATCACTACAGCAATAAATTGTTGTTTCAGAATTAACAGATCTTTAACAAATAAATCATGCTATAACACTATTCTAAACCCGTACCCAAGAATAAATATTAAATATTTAGATTTCGAAATGTTCACAATTAAACAGAATTAACAATAATAACAAAATGACAAATTACTGCGGCATATTATGAAAATCTTTTCAAATAATGCGGCCGAAATAACAAAAGAGATATTAAAGTCGTTTTAGACTGGAAGCTGATTCCCAAAGGTGATTGCATGCTTTTATAAATAGACACATGGAGCACGTGCTCTCGATCTGTCATCACGTTGATAAATCACATAATAAAAATTGGATCCACTCGACCCGTAGTTTATTAGTACCGGGAGAAAAATAATAAAGCTATTTCATACAATCGAAAACAATAGAAATATTAACAAGTGTTTAAATTTAGCTGTTCTTGTAAAGCCTCTATTTCCATATTAAGTCAAAGGTCAATGGACAATATCACCGCCGGCGCATGTCCCTATTTGCATTAGTGTTATTTGATATGTGAATTATCATTTGATATATATGTGGAAATTAAATTTTTCTTGGATAGTCCTTTTTACAACCCAGGTAAGAAACAATACATTTATGCATTAAAACGCCCATGTGTAGTAAATATAGACATGACGAAACCAATAGTTTTTCATCAATTGCTCGATTTTATATTTATAAACTTGGTTTTCGAAACAGATTCGTTAGTCTGATATCAATGGAGGTTGGTCCGGATATCGGTAAATAACGTGCATTTATACTTCAGTGGTACGCACGATAATATATAAACAAATTAAACCCACAAAAAAGACAAATATATAAATAATTGCAGCCCGACTATGGTACGAAGTATAAAACACGTAGTATTCACCAAGAAATGAAATACATATAAGAACGAACAAATGTAACTACAGCACGTATAAATCCATGTATAAAGACCTACACTTAACAAAGGCCAATCTGCTTAAAACACACGGAAACAAGAAATCGCACGGTAAATTGAATTTAACACCTACGCGTCAGATAAAGCCTGTTGGTCCTTGATAAAACACCTTTGGTGCAGTTATAACATGCTTTCGAGAAAACTCACCAAACAAAGAATACACACCGTGTCAGTCGTTTTTAACCCGTTCGTTAATTAACACACCGAGATTTTCACCCCTAGCGATAATTATATCACCACTCAGTCAATTTCTCACCCCTGTTAATTAACACACCGTACCTACAGATTTTAGCCTCTTCGTATTAGATTTGTTGCGATAATTAGAATTTTACTGATATTCATAGAAATTTACCAAATCGGGAGATATCTATGCCCTAAACGTACAAATCTCACTCTTACTACTTCTCAGTGTAAGTAATTATAAAATTAAACTTATAGTAACTAGCATGCAGAAGCCACAGTATTTGATATTTGTGTTTAGCATAAATGTAAATGAAATGAAATGAAATGGGGTTTAACGTCCTAATGTTCTGCTCCTATAATGGGCTAATGAAGACGGGCATACGCCAGACAGTGTGCTATGAGGGAAATTTTGCCCGGGCAGCGGCACTATCGCCTACTCTTATATCCAACTGCCAAGGGATCTTTTACGTGCATTCCAATGTATACACAGGACCTCAGTTTTTCGTGTCATCTGAAGGACTAGACAGCTGTCCTTGTCAGGCCCTCCGTCCTGCATCACTGACAAGGGGAAACCACGCCGGAAAATCGGGATGAACTTTCTCGACCAATGCAGGGATTGAACACCCGACCTCCAGGCTAGCGAGCCAGCGTCTTACCCACTTAGCCACGTGACCCCCCAGCATAAATGTATTTCTGAAATATTATTGATAGTTGATAGGGAAAATACTAGTGATCTTTATTGTATTCATCTAATCTGTTCGGGGGGTAGGATGGCTGAATGGTTAGCATGTGTGCGCTGTATCATAACGTCCGCATTGAGTCAACTGGCGTGGTTTCGATTGCCTGTGGGTTTTATCTGGGTCCTCCGGTTTTCTCCCACTGCTAAAGACCCCTATGCGCAAGCAAATTATTGAAATAAAATTGAACCATGTGTTAGTCCCAAAATGATCTAGTTTGTGTCAAGTGGATGTTAAACCCCATTTCTCTCTCTCTAATCTGTCCTGATACAGGTCAAGGTCTGAAGATGCATCCAATTACATACTGCCATTTAATTAATTAATCCAAATAAAGTATACCCCATAACATCCGGACAAGACTATTAACATCTGTGTTTTGTATGAAATATTAAAAACAAATAAATAGCTGTTCGGTGTTATTTCTTGAGTTGCAGTTTGAAATCAGTTTTTGATCATGGCTCAAAAACTGCAAAGAAGATAATTCTCAAGTTCCCTAATCAATAAAGGCATAATTATTTTTGTATTTTTAAAGTGTACAGTTTTAAATGAGAAATTAGAGAGTTTATTAACGACCTTGAATCAGGAACAAGAAGCTTCAGCCAAAGTTGAAGAACAAAGTGAACAAAGAGAGGAGGGAGAGGTAAATAGAAATTTGATGAAGGACAATGTTTATATTTAATAGAGTAGTCCCATAGATATTTTATTTAATGAAACTGGTAATCTTGGGTGAAAGACTCCTGTGCAAGTTTCTGAATCTCTGTAATGTGGTTCTTTTTTCAAAGAAACTCAAACGTTTCGTTTCCAAATGGGTTAGCCATAAGTTCCCAAATTCGGCAGTGAGTAAGGGTCTGGATAACCATGTCTGGATAACCAAGTTCCCAAATTCACCACTGAGTAGGGGTCTGGATAACCATGTCTTTATACTTGATGAAGTTAATATGGTAAATAGTCGTCACATCATTATCAAGTCCCTCATACATTGAAGAATGAAATTACTTAAACCGATGGCTCAGTATGCACATATGTTACATGTCCAGTTTTGGTCAAAATGAGATTTTAATGTGTAAATAACTGTGAGTTCTTTCTAATGTGTAAATTAGATTGATTAGATACAGTGTTATTAACATGGAAACATAAAGCACAATTAATAAGTTATGTAACTCTTGTTAAGAAAACCTATTGAACATTTTGATTTTTGATTTATAGGTAAATACAGGTGTTTTCTAATTGATTTACAACCTAAACACACTTTTGATATTGCATCCTGTAAATGCTGTGAAAGCCACTTTAAATCATCTATTTAATTAATTTCTATTTTCGTAATGTTAACAATACAAAGTAACGTCTTGTGTGAGATTAGCTTTAAAAGACCCTGTAGCCCAAAGGCAATGTTTCAATTTTGGTGATCTGCCATAGAATAAAATATATTGTAAGGAATTTAAGATAATGTACCATTATACACAATTATATGAAAGTAATGCTGTCCAGAACATTTTTACTTATTTCAAAATTTACTTCTTTGAATTAATAGAAATTTACATTAACATGCTTCTATTTGTATTTTATATTAAACTAGGAACCTGATCCTGTTGAAGATATAGAACGTTTTATAGTTGGATCACCTGAACGTGAAAGATTACCTATAGAAGAAATGGTCGGATCATCTGAACGTAATAGACTACCTATAGAAATGATTGTCTCACCTAAAGTTAAATCTGTAAGTTTCATTTAAATCAATTCTTTAACATAATAGGAGGATTTGATGGCCGAATGGTTAGCATGTGCGCGCTGTATCATAAGGTTTGTCATTGAGTCAGCTTGAGTGGTTTTGATTCCCCGGTTGTATGTGACAAGGAGTAGGGTGGTTGCCTGTCCAACCTCATGGATTTTTTCGGGGTCCTCCATTTTTCTCCCACTCCTAAAGACCCCTACGTGCCAATGAATTAATTGAAATAAAATTGTACCATATGTTAGTCCTGAAATGACCCATGAGTACTTGATTATTCAACAAGTTCATATATTTCTGTATTTATGTGTCCCAGTAGCTCAGCATATACTGAACTAAACTTATATTTCATGGTAATAAAGTGGGTTGATGTCCACAGAACCATTATTGGACAAAAGATATGACATGAATATGGTCCTTTTGATATTTGCGCATATCGGACCGTAAGTTCCTGGATTATGGCCCCTAATTGTACGAAAAAAAACCAAGATTCTAGCTTGTGGACCCTCTATAGGTCATAATGTTTATCCGATTTTAAAAAATTGTTTTTATACGGCCTCATTGAAATGTGGTCGTAAATTGTCGTCCCAGCCGTCCTGCCGGTAGTCCGGCGTCCACAAGGTCAATGCCTTGATGGAGTTCGAAGATGAGTATTTTCTACATAGGGTATGCGGAGATAAGCTCTAATTAAGTGAGAGTGATGAAACTTGGTGTATAGTTTCATTACATCAATACCTTGACTAAGTTCTGCTCAGGGTAAGCAGAGCGATAAGCAATTTGATTGGCCGAGACTTTGGAACACAATAACTCTTTCTAATTGAGCTAGAATGTTCAAACTTGGTGTAGACGTTCATTAGGTGAATGCCTTGATGAAGTTCTTTGATGAACATTGCCTGCTTCCGGTAAGCAGAGATAAGCAATGTGATTGGTTGATGCTTTGGGGCATGATAACTTTGGTTATAATTAAGTGAGAGTGATGAAAGTCCGAGTATAGATTCGTGATATCATTACCTAGACTAAGTTTGATGATGAGAATTTTCTGCTTAGGCTAAGGAACGATAAGCAATTTGATTGGTTAAGACTTTGGAACAGAACAACTCTGCCTTTAATTGAGGTAGAATGTTTAAACTTGATGTAGATGTTCATTAGGTGAATATCTTGAACAAGCTTTATGATTAACATTTCAAGCTAAAGCTAAGCTTTGGGACAAGATAACTTTGATTCTATCTGATAGAAAGTGATGAAACCTAGTGTATAGTTGATAATCAGTTTGATTGCTTGATACTTTTGAAAAAAAAATAAATGTGCGATTAATTAATATGTGTCATCTATTTATTTTGGGGTTTCGGCTGGGGACCTCTGCCTCACTGTTGACTTGTTTAAAGCTTGTTTTCTGTCCATCTCTTGCAAAATGTGGGCGTTCCTTGTATGGCAAATGTGTGTTGTATTTTCACTACAGTTATGTAATGAAATATGTATTTATTTTTTTTTTTTTCAGGCAATTTTTAAGCCAAAAGATGCTCTGATGTGTCGTGCCAATAGTTTAAAGAAAGTTGTTCGTCAGATTATAGAACATACAGAAAAAGGTAGAGTGCAATGATTAACAAGCTATATAAATATAATGATTAATCTTGATTTATATGTCTTGTGCTACAGTGTTAGACTATTTAAGATAAGTTTTAGTTCTGTTTTGATAAGTTTTGATAACGATCTAATGTTGGTCATTCATGGTGTGGTTTCGATCCTGTGTGATTAGGATTGGGGTTGCAGATCTAACCCTGTGACCTAACTAACTGAATATTGAAAAAAATTTGCAATTTATTTGTTTTGAGTTGATGTTCAACCCCATCTCGTATTTGTTGTTTATATTTGTCAAGATATAAACTTAAACATTATGCAAGAGCTAAATATAGCCAATTGCAAGTCTTTATTTAGACTTCAGATGTTATAGAAATTATTAATTAAACCTTTGTTTACACGACAAGCTCAAAATCAACTATGTAGACCCACGGATGGCTTGTATTTAAATAGTCGTCCATTTAAAATTAAATCAATAAGTGACGGACCAAGCTAATGTTTACCGTTAGTCGCTGATGTCACTACCGGAAACTGGTGATGAAAGGCCTGCCAAGCAAGGCTGCCATAGCCATTGAGCATGTTACTTGATAACTGAGAATATGTGGGTGAAGTTATCGTCTGTCAATCAAACGATCACCAATTCTCATAGACTGTGCAGACACAATTGATGCCTACTTCTAATCTAAACTTTCAACAGTGACAATTCCGTTCAGAACAAAATTTTCAACATTTTCTTTTTCTATCATCTATTTTTGAATTATTATAGCAAGATGGCCAACTCTTTATAAAACTCTTAACTAATGTATCTTTAACTGAAACATTACGAAATGGGCTATGACTCTAGAACATTTCTGCCAATATAGATGATTTGGTACTAACCAACTGAGCATCCTGTATATATTATGTTATAGCTTGTTTGTTTTTATATTTTAGCGGTTGATGAACAGAATGCCCAGACAGAAGAACACCGCCATGTTTTACAACATATATATACTAAAAACACATTAGATATCAGTAATGAAAATTCACGATCGGCACCAAGTTTTGCAATTTTTTCTTGTGATCAAGATCAAGAAGAGGAGAGCATGGTTCAAGCTGTGCCTGGTGTGTAAATTAAATTCCTTTACTGATAAATCCTTCATATTTAGGGTGTGAAGAAAATGTTGAACTATACTGTTTATTAATTTGAATGTTATCTGAATCAGAGATTAGATATTGAGATTCTTGTAGATTTTGAAACCTAAAAGTTTTGGTCCATGGGTTGAAAGGAATTTTTTTTTTACAATTTCAGAAGGTTCTCGCTCTCCTAGAGGTCTGTCATCTAGACGTATCAGTAGTATGTCAACTTTTAATAGATCAGCCAGTGTTGGTTCCAATCTATGTGAACGAGATAAAAGTCCCGTTAAAGATGCTATTCCTGCACCTAAACTTGGAACATCTTTTGCACAAATTGCGACTTTACCAGGTAAATGTTCAGCATGATCTAAATGTTCTAAAAGGCATTTCAAGAACCATGTTGTGGAAGAATAGTATAGGTCTTTTAATGTATAATTAATTAAAGAGACATTGTTTAGACTCTTCATTTATGTCAGGCTGTTTAATTTAGACAGAAGGCAACATATAATAATAATGATAATAATAATAATAATAATAATAATTCCTCTATTTATATAGCGCGATAATACTAAAACAGAAGCTCTTCAACTTTATAGAATGATATTTTAACATTTTAGTGTTCTATTAAGATAATTTAGATAAATATCAGCATATAAATCATTTCAAATGAAATTATTTGTAAAAACTGATTTTCAGTTTTCAGTTTTACATAAATGTCATTGTACAAATGATATCATTCAGTTGAACAAAACTACAAGTTCTCAGTATAAGAATAATTGAAATCATTAGTTGACTGAATATTTTTCTGTCTTGCAAGATGCTATTCTTTTATTTTTGTAGGTATTAATAGTGCTATAGCCAAATCTCTAGGAGGTGGTAGTTTTATCAGTAAAGTTTTATTAGCTAATGCTGATGCATTGTGTGCTGCAGCTTCACCTTTGATAGAAGAAGAAGTACCACAGTATGTAATACTATAAATACTTTAAAGCTAGAAATATAGTTACCAAATATTAAAGATCAAATCAGTGTTAAAAATGTAATTTGGATATTTGGATTATTGAATGCTTTTGCTGAAACTGGAAACATTACTAAAATACCAATTTTTATTGTATATATTATATTTGTATTTGTAGTGATCTATATACAGAAAAGTGTGTAATGAATAACTATTTTGGTATTGGTTTAGATGCTAAGATAACTCTAATGTTTCAAAATAAACGAGAAGAACATCCGGAAAAATGCAGGTATACATCAGTTTTACTCTGACTGTTATAATACATAATACAAAATGTAATATAATTATAGCATATATTATAATCAAACAACATTTCAAAGAAAATAATTCCAGTCCTTATTAATTATGATTAATATTATGTTCCTGAAATGTTTTAAATGATCGTTTGAAATGTGAAAGTAATAATGTTTTGATGTAGTTAATGTAGTTATTCATATCTTCCAAGATGGCTAATGAAGGGATTATAATAAATAGCAGATCTTTCAGAGATCTTTCATTCTTATTGAAGCATATTCTATGTATGTCTTTCAGGAGCAGGACAAAGAATTTAATGTGGTATGGTGTATTGGGGGGTAAAGAAATATTACATAGGTCTTTCAAAAATTTAGATCAAAAAGTTCTGTTAGAATGTGATGGACAGAGAATACCGCTACCAAGTCTACAGGGTATTGTTATATTAAACATTCCAAGGTGAGTAACAAATACTCATGGATTTTTTTTTATTTATAACAGATTATTTTCTTAGTGTAACTGCACACACACTGATTATATCCATCAAATTGACATAATTTAGTACTTATTTATAGTAATCTAAATGGATATGTAGTTACTTTTGTAATCTTTTCATGCAATTAAACTTTCTAAACATTGATATTTTTGTATATATTTTTGTATAATGAAGTAAAAAATGTTTGTTGTTTTAAGCTATGGTGGAGGGGCCAATTTCTGGGGAGGAACCAAAGAAGATTTAGTAAGTATATTAACTTAAAAAATGTTTCGACAGCATTAGATTTTTCTCAATCCCATTAGTTCAGTAGACTACATGCATGTATATAAAATTTTGTGTACATTGTCTGGCTGGCTGTCATATTCTTGAAAATCTCTATTATTAATTTTCAGATTACCTTCCCTATAGTCAAATTGCAATAAAGGTTAAATACTTAAATGGATTTTTATGCACCCACATAAAAACAAGTTTTTTTTTTTATATTGTATTCTATTAATTATTGTATATCAACTTATCTAAATATCAAATGCATCATTTTGACTTATTCAAAATTGATCCCATCAAATCGTCTGTAATGGGTTTGTGTTACCTGTTTCTATTGATTGGAAGTTTCACATGGAAATGTGGACGTATATTGCCGTTGCCCCTCTCCGTCCGTCTTCCACAATTTCTTTTGAATGCTCTGACGCCAAAAGTTATCATCCGATTGTTTTAAAATTTATATATGTTGTTTACATTAGTGAGATGAAGAATCCTATTTAATTTCAATAATTTCTGTTATTACATCTAGAGTTATGGCCCTTGTTTCACTTTGTTGAACCTTGTGACAGCTCTAACATCAAAAGTTAACATTCGATCTTTGTGACATTTATACACATTATTAGATTAGTACAATGAAGAATCCTATTGAATTTCAGCAATTTCCGTTTATTACATCTCGAGTTATCACCCTTGTTTCACTTTGTTGCACCTTGTGAACGCTTTAACATCAAAAGTTATCTGCCAATTTGTATTAAATTTATATACATCATTTAGATAGTAAAAAGAAGAATCCTGTTGAATTTCAGCAATTTCTGTTTATTACGTTGAGTTATGGCCCTTGATTCACTTTGTTACACCTTGTGAACGCCCTAACAGTAACATCTAAAGTTATCTGCTGATCTGTATGAAATTTATATACATTATTTGAATTAGTGAAACAAAGAAGCCTATTGAATTTCAGCAATTTCCGGTAATTACTTCTTGAGTTATGGTCCTTGTTTCACTTTGTTGCACCTTGTGACGCTTGTTAATGCTCGATTGATGAAAGTTATCATCCGATATGTATGAAATTTATATGCATCATTTAAATTTGTGAAACAGAGGTCTATTGAATTCCAGCAATTTCCGTCAATTATTTCTAGAGTTATGGCCCTTGTTTTACTTTGTGAACATTGTGAACGGTCGAATGACAAAAGTTATCAACCAATATGTATGAAATTTATATGCATTATTTAAATTAGTAAAACAATAATGCCTGTCAAATTTCAAAATTTTCTGTAAATTAACTCCAGAGTTACGGCCCTTGTTTCAGTTTGTCGAACCTCGTGAACCCTCAAACGACAAAATTTATAATTTGATCTGTATGAAACTGTCTTGTAAATGCCCCCAATTACCTACAAAAGAATAGATATGTGACAACGCTTGTTGACTGCTCAGACGATTTAGCTGCTGTGGGCGTATGTTTCGTTGCCTGGCAACCTATTTTTGTAGTTTCTACATGTCCTCACCATGAACTGATGACGTAAGGTAGTATTATGACATCAATATTTTTTTTCTTCATAGAATTTTACAGCACCAAGTTTTGATGATAAGATATTAGAGGTGGTAGCGGTATTTGGTGGAGTACAAATGGCTGTATCTAGAGTGATAGATTTACAACATCACAGAATAGCACAGGTATGTGTAATAAACAAATAAGTTTATATTCACAAATAATCATATAATTGATAACTGTATCTGCTTGTGTTTGAAATACAACTGTGGTATTTATTTGTATTTAAAATCACATCATTTTTTCTCTGATAAAGTATTTAAAGTTTTTGTGTTAGGCTCTTATACAATCTTTTTTATAGTGTCGAACAGTGAAGATTAGTATATTAGGTGATGAAGGGGTACCAGTACAAGTTGATGGTGAAGCATGGACTCAACCTCCAGGTTATATTCGTATAGTACATAAAAACAGAGCACAGATGTTGACAAGAGATAGGGTATGTAAAATGCATAATACTTCCTTTCAAAATTTAATGATAGATGGACATAATGATTGTATTGGACCACATTGATGCTGTTTCCATATAGCTTGATACCTTAAACATACATTATGCAAGAGCTAAATCTGCCTATTGCAGGTCTTTCTTTAGGCCTCAAGTGTTATATAAACCAATAATTAAACATTTATTAACATGACAAGACCATAATCAACTCTCGATGTCATCAGATATCTCCGATATTGAGTAGTTTAGAAGGGTTCAGCCGTATTTTGATTTAAAAATGGAGAAGCAACACTTAGCTTCGAACAACTAGTACGGTGGTTACAATCAATGCTAAGATCTTGTCAAACTTTCAAAAGCTAATACCTTCGCTCGCAGTAGAGTAATTTGAATGATATTTGCAATATATTTATTTCGCATTATCTATTTTCAAACTATTATGGCAAGAATGGCTAGCGATTTATCTAAATCTTAAATAATGTATGTTTAATGTTTCTCACAACCATTTAAAGTTTATATAATTCTTGACATTCATTATAAGGGCTGTATGACATGTTTCTGGAGCTCCCTATCTTTAGCTAAATTATAGTTCTGTAGTGTATGCATAACTTGCGTTTTAAGAAATATCTCTGTTGTAATTGTGTACAAAATAACTAAGTTTAACTTAGAAAAAGTTATGTGACCACAGCAGAAAATTCATCTGAGCAGTCTGTACATAAAGGTTGTCAAGTTGTAATTCTTTAATAGGTAATTTGGTAACTAGAGAATTTATGTGACATTCAAAAGTAATCAAAGGCAACAGTCATCAGAAATTATTACAATTTGATAGGATTCTTCCCATTATTAATGGAAAAAACATACAAGTAAATTTAATGACCACAAGAAGTTCAAAGTAAAGATGGGCAATAACTCTGACAGTATTTATCAATTTATCATACTGTAAAGGAATGTAGCCCCCCTGACCTACAAAATACCAGCTTTTAAATTGTTTCATGTTTTTCTTTTCAGATGTTTGAAAACGTGTTAAAATCGTGGTCAGAAAAACAAAAAGTTGAAAGATTAGGTCATCCACAGCCAGCTTCACTAACAGAAGAAGAAGCCCATGCTTTAGTCAGTTTTGTTGAGGCGGCAGCTAATTTAATCAGATGGTGAGCCATAATCACTTTATTTCCTTAGACAAATCCAGAAGAAGAAATTTTGTTTTTTTGTTAGCCATTTCCTTGAAGTTCTTCTATCAAGCACGACATTGACTAAATGCATCATAATTTAGTAAAATGTCTACACTGATACGTTCATCGACATTGATCACATTTCTGTAGTTGAATTTTATTAAAGTAATTAGAAAATAAATATGTGGATGTGATCAATGATTACATATTCTGTATTTCAGTGTAAAAGCTGCCTCAAAAACTCATACCTCAGTTGAACAAGAGTTATTCCCCTTGAGTCAGAAAGCTTCAGATAGTCTTGACCGTCTGTATCCCTCAGGAAAATTATCAGAGGTAGGTCTTACTATTAGATAATTCTTTATACGCCCACATTGAAATGGTGCATTATACCCTCTGTCTGTCTGTCCCTTATCCACTATTGCTAAAATTATCATTCGATTGACTTCAAATTTATACACAGTGTTTATTTTAAATGATTGTTGCCCTTGTTTGTTTTTGTTTTTTTAGAGCTAAAGTTATTTTTCAATTAATTGACTTCAGAGATTTTCAACGATTCCCATTCCCAATAATTATTTTAAAAACTTTACAGGCTAAAGTTATCTTTTGATTTGTTGTTTAGCAACCTGATTTTCACATATTTATATGTAAATAATTTTAATTCATATTGATTCTCTTGATACAGTACAATTTCATTTGAGATAAAATATTTCTCATTACATACATCATTAAAATAGTATCTCTGTCACTGCTCACACAGTATCAATTTTCTTAAGAATATGTTCTTCAAAATATTGTAATTGATGTATAGCGTCTTTATTGTAAACTTGTTTGTTTTCTTGTTCTGTTACCAGGCTTTTCAAAAAGCAAGACACAAAGTGGCTATCTTTTTTGGCTGTACATTAACAACATTTGGTATAAACTTTTGATATGCATGCCCACTAGGTCAAAAGAAATTCATTTTAGAGTCATGTTTTAGTCCGTGGACCTATTTTACCAAGCAGATACATGTAAATATATGTTACTGTTTTAAGCACAGCTGTATTGTGTCTGTTCGAAATGTGGGTGTGAGTCTAATAGATGGGTGGCATTTCTCTATTCTAATCCGTAAAACTATTACTTATTTATTATTATCACTGAAGATGTAGTTCTATCTTACTGCTGCTCGACATAATTTCATACTTGTGAGCTTTAAAAGACTTGGTTTTGAATCCATTTCCTGATTCATTTTAGCCCAGATTACATGCAGCTGATTTACACAAATTTCTAGGAAATATATTCTAAATATTTGTTGATATATGTAGATAAACTGTTAAGTATAAATTATATTTACTTCCTATAGATGGAAAGTGGTGATTCCGAAACATATCAGGTACATTAATCTGGCTTAGATGTTTTTGTAATTGTTGTTCATTTTTAATTTCAGCATGCACTTATTTTTTCATTGTGACTTTTTGAAAGATTTATTGGAATTTTTATTTTCAAAAAAGGAAACTGTTTTATATGACAAAGTAGTGTGAATGAAAGTTTGTCAGATTTTGTTTGTGTTATTTAGGTCATAGCCTTGTTCATTAAGTGTATTGCTTTTTAATCTTGAAAACCAGGTGGTCATGCTGCCCTGTTGTGACTGCTATTGTATTGTCTGCATTAAATTAGTTTAGATACTTTCAATTTTAATGTGGAAGTATTTTGATGTTTGGGGGGGGGGGGGGCGCTGTCTATATTTCCAGTTCCTGAAGGTAGTTTGAGAGAAACCATGGTACTTAAAGATACATAATTTAAAGGCAAAATTTGTCTATTGCAGGTCTTTCTTTAGGCCTTAATTGTTATATAACTTATTAAACATTTATAAACATAACAAGACCATAATCAACTCGATGCCATCGAATGCTTGAGATTTTCACTAGAATAGAACAGTTCGACCATTTAATGATTTAATTTAAAAATGTAGAAGCCAGGCTAGGTCTCGAATATACCAGTACCGTGGTTGCGACAATAAAGAGAGAGAGAGAAATGGGGTTTAACGTCCACTCGACACAAACTAGGTCATTTTGGGACTAACATATGGTTTTTAATTTTATTTCAATAATTCGCTTGCGCGTAGGGGTCTTTAGCAGTGGGAGGAAACCGAAGGACCCGGAGAAAACCCACAAGGTTGGACAGGCGACCCTACTCCTTGTCACGTACAACCGGGGATTCAAAACCACACCAGTCGATTGCGACAATAAACAATCAATACACACATCTTGTCAAAACTACCAACAGTGATAACTTGGCTCAGAATAAAATAATTTGAATGGAATTTTCAATGTATTCATTTTGCATTATCTATGTTTGAACTGTTATAGCAAGAACAACCAACTCTTTATCTAAATCTGACATACAGTATCTTAAAAGAACATTGCTGTAATGTGATCAGAAAACAGTTGTGTCTGTGTTTTATTTTTTGATTGTCAACGTTTTTTTGTTTTCTGTTTTATTTTCATCTATCAAATTTTTGCAACCTCTTGGGAAAAACTGTAATTTTTTTCCCTGAATAACATAGTACCTGATGTATTATATATTTTATATTTTTATTTACTAAAATTATTAACATGTATGTATGTATGTATGTAACTTCCAATGATACTAGTAACTGGATAGGAAATTCTGTTACACACCGATTCAGTCTGCTTTACTTACATTTAGAAGGAACTTAATTATATATTAGTTATTTTGTACTTCATTTTGCTATTTTATTTATTAACTCACTGTGAATGAAATAGTAATCGGATGAAATTTATTTTAAAGTCTTACTTTTACTGCATCACTCCAAATAAATCAATTGTTTATTGAAGTGCCAAATTTAATCTCAGAAATTATACATGTATTATTAGTTCATCAAATTTATGTAACATACTGAAAAATTTTGTTAACTTCTACATATGTCATCAAGATAAGCAGACATCTCTCATTTGAATTGTCAAGGGCTCAGCTAAAATATGGATCCAATTTTTTTCCTTAAAAAAAGGAGATTACTATTAATATTCAGACCTATTTTGGAAAGAATGTGACTATTTGATTAAATATTCTTTAACAAATGAAATAGATGAACTCTACTTAAATAATGTTTATAATTTCAGCCAACATTAAGAATACAAGTAACTGAGTTAATACATAGTGTTAAAGTACTGTATACAGAGACCAATGTCTTCCTCAGTGATAAAAGTACTTCACAGGTAATTAAATATACTACAGTATCTGTACTCTGCCTTTCTCCCTTTCTATATAGAGAGTCTGCTTTGCTAGGAAACACCTTTCTTGTTTCAGTAAACTTAACTCTAGTGCACCTTAAAATCATTTCGTAATAGGAAATCAGGGTTGGAATGTGGCATATAAAGGTCTTCATGTTTTTGTTTCAATATTTATTTGTCGTGTATCATTAGTAATCATTATATTATAATTTTCACTTTAGCATATATACCCTGATTTAAAAGAAAAACTAAGCAATGCATTAAGTCATCTAGAAGATGAAATGCAGAAGATATTAGAAATAGGAGGAACTGTCTCAGAATTTTACTCAGATGAGGTAAGAATAAACATTTATGCTTATTATACATGTACTAACTGGAGTTAGTCAAATTGAGCAGATCACTGCCCATTCTCACAAGCAATAACGGTTGTAAGTGGAAGGCTATTACTTCTTGTCATGTTTACCTCCCCTTGGTTCGGTACCATTAACAGACTACCACTGCAAATAGTCTGAATCTTAATATATTAATGGAATTTAAGCCAAACTCGAACAATTAATTGATCATACAGTAATGTGATAATTATAGCCTATCTATACACCAAGGGTAGTGAACTGTATACAATCCTCAGTAGGCTATATAATCAAAACTTCAATTTGTTTTTAATTTGCAATTTAACATACCAAGTAAGAACTGTATGTTTTGTGCAGTGATTGGTTGATTTTGTATTGGTGATAGAAGACAACGTAGCAATTGCCAGGGCTAGAAAGACCTACAGAGGCCCTAAGCACTTTAAAGATTTTGTTGCCCCAATATATGTTTTATTCAAATATAAACAATAATAAACAATAAACAACCGTCAAGCACATTGTTAGAGCTTTCTGGGGTTTTATACAGGTCATTATTAATTGCGACAAAACAGTAAGAATAGACAAAAACAATGAACATTTTTGAATTAAATATTTTAAATTTGCCCCCATTCCCATGATGCCCTGATTTTTCCTCATTGCTTTTCATTAAAAATGTGTACAGATACGGTGTATTATTTACTTTTAGGCATTGATGGATCATAAACGTAAACATGGTAAATTAAAACAGGTTTATAACAAAATGAAGGGAAAGGGTAAAGAAAGAGGTCGGGCAGCTCTTCCTCAAGGTAAGATAATTTTGAAAATCAAGTTGTGATACCATCAACAACTAATAGATGATTTATCAACAAAAAATTACCGTAAAGCTGTTTTGAAAACATACGGCGCTTAAAAAAATGGTAAAACAGACACTGATGGTTAGCTTTTTTTAAAACCTCTTAAGAAACAGGGGCTTATCAGGCTGTGCTTAATCTGAAATCATTGTCAAAAAATCCCAGAGGATAAGTTTTATAAAATCTATAACAAACTCAATACTATGCTTTAATAATGAAAATGTGAACAGAAAAAACTCGACAAAATCTTAAAATTCATGAATTTTAAAGTAAATCGAGGGACAACTCCAAAATATACCATAAAAATGTCCTTTTTTCCTCCTCCTGACTCATTAAACAATCCCTCTAAGTTTTAATATATAATTTCTACTGAGAACTTTAAAATCAAATTTGTAATAGATAACTGCAAAATGTTTTAAAAAATTACGATCTGAAAATTTTGACATTCGCATAAACCACCATGAGCGATCTCAATGACTTTCATAAAATTGTTTTTAGACCTGTTCGCGTGTGTCCCATTCACAAGTTTACATAATTTTTAATGTACAAGGGTGATAATTTTGTAATTTGTTATATAAAAAAAAACAATTACAAATTTTGATAGGGTTCCTACTTACGCCCAGTTGAACAATACCAGTTTAAAAAAATTCCTTCAAGAACTATGTCCTGCATTACATTCACAAGCTTCAAGACTCCAAATATGACCAGAAATATAAATTAACAAAATGCCTTTGAAAAATTTACCATGCGAAAATTATAAACAATTAAATAAATATGGTGAAGTAGATATTAGTCATGTATATTTTGATTTGATGTTTTTAACTGTAAATTTATATTTGTTAGGTTATGATGTAAGATCCTGGACAACCGAAGAAGTTGGTCACTGGTTAGAAACTCTAGCTTTAGTTGAATATAAAGAACAATTTTCAAGTCATGAAATACGTGGCTCTGAATTACTGAATCTGGAAAGAGGTGATTTAAAAGTAAGTTTTTTAAATTCTTATGATCTTCAAATTTTCTAAAAAAATTTACCCACTGAAAGAAACAATATTCCATACTAAAAGGCAATAATAGAAATAAAAGTTGCCATAGTATTGTGTTAACAACATTCTTTTGTTATTAACTAATTCTGAGGCTTCATATATTCCATCTATGTAAAAGTCATTTCTATTATTTTCAACAGGATCTAGGTGTAACGAAAGTTGGTCATTTAAAACGTATACAACAAGGAATACGAGAACTTATTAATCGAGAGGCTGCCTTAGAAAAACTATTTTACCAGTTCTAATTCTTACTGTCTCATAGTATCTGTTTCTGGAAAATGGATGAACTCTTGAGCTGTATACTCTAAGTGATATTTGAGCTACCTGTTTCCATAGCAGACATTTTGTGTTTGGGATGATGTTCAGTGAGTTCTACTGTCCGAGCGAGTGAACAGAGTGAGTGTAGTATTTTTGAACTAGAGGAATTTAGAGTAAAAATGTGTGTTAGTGGGCGCAAAATAGAGAAATCGTGATATTGACTTAATATGCAGAAGTCGTGATATGTTGATATGCAGAGTGAAGTGTAGATGTCATGGCATAAGAGTAAAATGCAGCTATGTTTTTTAAGGGCAAACATGGAGCGGTCAAATACAGATCTTATCATCTCAGGAGTCAAAATACACAAATCATCCTGAGTGTCAAATACAAACATCATAAGCTTAAAAGTGCAAGAGTAGACATCATAATAATATTCAAATATAGCATGTGGAGTGCTAATTTTACACACATCATTTTGAGAGTCAAAGTGAAAGTGTCTTGGTGTAAGGAGTGAAAAACTGTAGAAGTTGTTTTTTTCCTAACAGTAGTGTCAAGTTTATGAATTCTTTGTTGCATAGTTTTGTCTTCATACACTTATTGTTTGTTTTATAATGTTTATATTTTCACTTGATCTCTTTATTTATAATTGTGTATGTTGGGTGCAGCAGGTCTGTGCCATTGTTAACAACAACCAAAGAACTGTTTCATATTTATTATTATTATATACGTATATTATTATATTATTTATCTGCATATTCACATAATATATATTATACACTATATATTTGTCACAGGTATATTCCGCAAAGTCCATAAACTACATGTAGTTCCAATAATTGTCAGTTTATGTAGCAATTATCTTAGTCATTTTTTTATTTTGCAGAATTTATCACATATTTATTATCTACTTACATACTTGTATTTCGTGTGTAATTTCTTTTTTTTTTACACATTATTTTGAGGTACACATTCAGTCATCTTCACTTCTTGGTCTAATCTTGAGCAAACCATGTCAAAGTATTTTTATTTGATTCTCCTTTTTACACTTTTAAATTGAATTGTCAGCCTTGTCTGTATGTCCACTAAACTGTTCAACAAATGTAGACAAGTTTTGAATTTCATGAAACTTATATAGTAGTGGTCAGTTTTTTGGTTGACTACTCTTGTATCAGATGGATGTTTCTGTACCCTTTTTGACAAACAGAACTTTTATACTGATTACTTTTATTTTATGGAAATTCTTTGACTGGATCCCATAATGCATGGTCTAATGGGTTGACTGTGTCTGTATATTGTGTTTATGACCAACACTCACATATATTATTGTTAAATTGTCATAAAATGAAAAAAAGTCTTCGTCATAATGCAAATCTTGTTAATACAGAACAGATATTATCTAATGTAGTGGTCTCCAATTTGGAGTCATTTTAGAGAATAGTATTAGCAAATATATTTGAAAATAAAATGAACCTAAATAATTCAAAATAAAATGTCTTGAGAAACTTGCTAACATGGAGGCTGTAAAATTAGTGGATATGACCTGCAACTAATTTTTCATTATATTTGGGTTTTTTTCTGTATTTGGAAATATATGTTTTAGTTTTAAGTTGTCTTCCATATCTGTGTGTTATAGTTAATGGATGAGATTTAGTTATAAAAGTTTGAACTTTCAGGCAATACACATTTGTAGATGCATAGAGCAATGGTGAGGTAATTTCCATTCTGAAAATTCAGGGTCAGGATTAGGATGACCTGTTGTTTTTAACTCTTGTGTTTGGATTTCATACCTCCCCCATCTCTAAATGCTTCAAAGGCCTGACATATACTTGATTTATTGTGTCTAACATCCAGAGAAGCAATGTATAGAAATAATATTGTACAAATTGACAAAACAATGTACGATTCAAATAACACATAATGTGATTTGAATTGCTTCCTGTAATGTGCGTAATACACCATGGACATAGAGCGGTCATCTTTTAAAGGGTATTAGTACTATTAGAAATGTATGAAACTTATAAATTGAACAACTTTGAATATATTGCAATATATGTGTGTGTGGCTTGATTTGTCCTTTCAAACAATGATTCAGAATTACACAGTTTTTTTATTTGGTTTTGTTTTTGATTAGATATTAGTTGATCTGTAATGTTAGTGTAGAAGTCCAATCTCTATATATTCAGAGTGTATAATACAATATAATTTTGATATATGTACTATTTTGTATAAATAAATGTATATTCCCTCCCCCCCCCCCTTTTGTACTTGTAAAAGAACTTCACCTCAAGTGTCAAAGTAATTAGAAACCTCGTCTATATATGTGTGAAGTATATTTTTTGTAATTTTGTAAGAATCATGATTTTCATATACACAGAGTAATAAATACTAGTGCAAATTTTATTATTATAATAATAATACAATGTATGTTGTACATATAGATGTTGTTTATTATTTATATTAAATATTACATTTATTCCTTCCTACAATAAAACTTACAATCAGCCTAAATCAAAAAATTGGGCTGGACTTTTATATCATTTACTTTTAAAGAATAGCCATTACAAAATGTAAAATGCATGGCATAAAGAATAAAGTATGTGAATTAGATTGTCATAAGAATGAAATAAAATTCCGAATGATTTTAATTAATAGAACTGTATTCCTACTCTTTAAAATATGAATAGAATCATATGATAGATCATTGTTTAATTTCTGCTCTATTTTTATATTAGCAATATTTTGTACCTACAGAACATTTCATATAAACAAAGTCCCGATAGAATATACTTATGTATTTTCAACAAAGTTTTTACAAATAAACAAATATAATGCCAATTTTATTCTTGATTTTTAACAAAACCTCATGTATCTGTGTCCTGTTTTCATTATAGGAGTTTTACTATGAATAGCTTGATATTCAACTTAAATTAGTTTGTGTTATAGATTCGTGTTGCTTCTGATGTGCACACTTTAAGAAAACATTTTTAAATCTCAAATATCCTTTTTGGTTTGTTATGAAAGAATGTGCCTTAAATATGTTGTTTTCCTTTGATTGTATGCTTATTGTATCCCTGTACTTAATTATGTAGTTTTAAAATGCTACATATTATATAAAATTTAATTCAGTTTTTTAAGCTATGTCAAATGATAGCCAATTGACTAATAGTCAAAAGAGGATGTCATAGGCAAGTAGTGTCTTCTTTTAGCATGAATTGTCTACCTTGTGGATGTTTGCGAAGTATCTATGTAAAAAATAAATTATTCAGACAATTCATGGTTAGATACTGATATGTAGTTAAACATTTATTTTTGTTTTCATAGTAAAACTAGATTCCATTTGTCCAATTTCTCAAATAATGTCAGATTGCTTGTCCTCATCTTCTGGAATCAGGATTATTGTGGAGATGTATGTATTTCAAAACTAATATGTTTGAAGATCTGTCTATTCAAGTTTTGCAGTTGTGTTCACACTGTCCAAGCACCATTATGGAATTCAACATTGAACACAATTAACTTACTTAAGGAAAACTTCCAATATTGCAGAACTTACTGCCAATGTAAATGGATAATTGAAAATTTGTATTTCCTCAAAAAAGTACCTCAGAGCTTCAGTTAAAATTTTGGCAATCTGTACACACACACAATTTGTGCTACTTTAAAAGACACATCTGCCAAAAATTATATCTAAGACAAATATATCTCCATATATTAGGGCTAAAAGGAGAAAAGCGCTGGAGCCCAAGTATAAAGTGGCAAGTGTTTTGTGAATGATTGTTTACTTTATAATAGATGGACTTATCAACATGAATACTAGTCAAATTTTGTTTAGATCACCAGAAATTTGTGAATTTAACATTCCAATTACCTAACTGTGCCTCAATTATCAAACAGCTTTAAGCACCTTTCAGTCATTTTATATTTCCCCCATTATATATCTTTTGTGAATGATAATGAGATTTTTTTTCAGTGAAAGAATATTGTATTGTTCTAGACATCAACAGGACTGTATTTAGTACAAAACAGACATTAATAATTCTTTTATGGCATTATAATCAATGGATCCCCGTGGAAAAGTTTCATGCACATTTATTCAAACTTCTTAAATTTGCATATAATTTTAATCTTCTATCAGCTTATTGAGCTTTCAAAACCCAGACATGCTACCTAATAAAATCTGCAGATTTTATATCATATGATAGCTTTATATGCACACTGAGGTTTCTGGCCAGCTACCCACTTTGAAAAGTTACAGTAACATAAACCCATTTCAATTTTCAATGAGGTACATGTTAAAAGTCAAATTTGATTTTTCTTTGACTCTCTCGTGTGATACAAGCTATCGAACTCTTTAATTTGAATTAACTGCTTAATATAAATAATGCCTCATCAAGAATAGTATCCATTATGGAAGATAGATATGTATTGATTTTTGAATGCAGACCTGTTTTTTTAAGTCTGTAGCAAACAATTTTTATAGATTAATCTTAATATAATCCTGACATATTTATTATTGCCAAAGATGTCATATTTCACAAAATGATTGTTAATGTCTTGTTCAATTTGTGATGATCTTAATTTAAAAAAAAAAAGAGTGATTATTTGTACATGTGGTAGGAATCTCGTCTCTAATAGAATTATAACAGTATTGTACTTGTATGTGATGCAATCACTTTTTCCATTCTGCGATTTCTACTCACGGTTATCATCTAAGATTTTTTTTTCTATGTTTAAACTAAGTCAACTTTGTACAGTTTCATATATCTTGTTAATAAATTATTCAAATTTTCAAATATATTTCAAGTTGTCGATTTTATTTTTTTTAGTAAGAAATAAAGAAACATAGAGAAATTGGGATTATCGTCCACTCAAAACAGACTAGTTCATTTCGTGGAGAAGGCAACCCTACTTGAAACCATGTCACTTGACTCAATGACAGATCTTATGATCTAAAGCGATGGCAAGTAATTGGGTGTGTTCCTCATCACACAGAAGTACATGGGCCTGAATAATATAAAGAGTGCACGTGTTTATTTGAAACATACAAAATATACAAATACTCAATAATATAACAGATAATCATTTCAATTGTTACACGTGACGGTTATAATAGATCTCCCAAATTCATCGGCAGTTCCTCTATAGAAGTATTGTAGACTGATTCTAGGTCACGTAAAACACAGTTATCATCACGAATGACAAAGTTAATAGCAATCTGGTTACCTGTTTTGTATCTTATGTGGGTTAATCTGAAATAAAAAAGATAAATTTGAGTTCACTAGACTTAGTTCGATGTATCTGGACAAGGTAATGATACAATAATTTAGATCTTATACCCATACAAATGCTAGACTCCGTCAGTAGCCTGCCTTTATTGCCCAGATGGATTCATTTGTAACTATTATTTTTGCTTGCTGCATTACATAAATTCTATTGTAACATGGACGGGAAACATATATATAAACATATATTTTTAAATTTCATTAAGATGGATAAAAACTTCTAGAGGGTAAACATTCTTGGTATTACATACTTTTACACTATTTGCATACAAGTAGCAGCCATTCTGTCAAGCAGTTTCAGTCTGATTTTCATAATATTTAAACTCAACCATCATATTAGTGTGTAAGTAACAGTGATATATTCAAACCTCTCGAGCCTAGTAAGAGGTTCCACCTAAAAAACGCAATTTTTCGTACAATTTAGGGGCCATAATCCTGGAAGTCATCAACCGGAATTGAGATCTTCGGGTTATAAACACATGTGTCAAGTTTCATCAAAATCAAATACAAATTGTAACTTTTAAAGGGTCTGCAACCTTGGTATTCCATACTTTTAGACTATTTGCATACAAGAAGCGGCCATTTGAGCAGTTTCGGTCAGATTTTTACGAAATTTGAGGTGTAACGGTAATATATTTAAACAGTTTTAAAAATTGAATACAAATTGTGACTTCTAGAGAGTCCACAAGCTAAAAACTTGATTTTTCGAACAATCAGGGGCCATCCTCCAGGAATTTACTTCTAGACTATTTGCGTACAAGGAGCAGCCAGTCTGTCTGGCACTTTCACACTATCTGCATTAGAGGAACGTCCGTTTTCGTCCGGCAGTTTTGATACGATTTCCATGCAATTTGAACTCGACCATTGTTATGGTGTAACGGTGGTATATTTCAACGTTTTTTTTAAATAGGATAAAAATTGTGACCTCTAGAGGGAACACAAGCTAAAAACGTGACTTTTCGTACATCAGGGGCCATAATCCAAGAAGTTACGGTCCGATACTTGTCAATATCGAAAGGAACCAAGGTACTATGGAGATAAACCTATATTTCAAGTTTCATCAAAATCGGATAAACAACTGACCTCTTGATCAGTGTTCACAAGCTAAAAACATCATTTTTCGTACAACCAGTGCTCATAATCCATGAATTTGCGATCTAATACATGCCAATATCGAAAGGAAACAAAATCTTTTGGAGATAAACTATATATCAAATTTCGTTAAAATCTGATAAAAATGTAGAGTGTTCACAAACAAATTGTCGACGGACAGGCGGACAGGGGTGACGAAAATATACATCCACATGAAAATTTAGGTGTATAAAAATTGATAAGCTCTTTATCTTAATAACAATAAATTAACTCAGGGAAATTATAATATATATATTCAATATCTTGCTCTTCAAGGTGTGTAAATCATCCTTGTGGATTAATAAAAGGCTAGAAATAAAAACTAATCATACAATCATTAAGTTCAGTGTTGCAATAACCTGTTAAGATAATTTTCCTTTACTGGGAGATCATAGTTGATGACCAGACGGACGTGTGTGAAAACAATACTTTGATCTAAATCATCAGTTACTATCAAAATACGAGTTGATCCGGCCTGAAATTCTCCCATAATTTTATCACATTCTTTCTTATTTGTATCTCCATGCTGAAACATAATACAGATTTCCTTGTTAAAATTTTAAATTCTGTTCACTTCCATTGTATATCTTTCTGGAAAAGTATATCAAATTGTACTGTGTATGCTATATATTCCTGCATCTTTAGGTCTTTTAGTGTTTTATTGTGCAGTTCCCCTTGCATAAAATTGTCTATTAGAAATAATTCTGTATGATTCATCTCATTAATGTTTCTTTTGGAATTTTCCATCCCTTTCTCAGAGCAATATACAAATTCACAGTACACAGCAAAGAAACTAATTATACTAAGATTTAATATTGATAATAATATAAATAGCAACAACTTACCATGGCAGATACAGTAAAATCTCTGTGGGTCATTTTTTCAGTCAACCAATCTACCTTCCTCCTTGTATTACAGAAAATAACAGCCTGGGTAATAGTGAGTGTCTCATACAGATCACATAATGTATCCAATTTCCATTCCTTAAACAATTTTCAAATTTCAAATTTCAAAAAGTTGAATATCAAAAGAACCTTTCAATAACAAGCAAAATGACTTTTCAGCATCCTAATAATCGATATCCAAACAATCATAGTTACTTCCAAAAGTGAATCTTCGAGAATCTCCTTTAGGCATATAGTGTGAGTGAACTAGGTTTTCGAGCGAAACTCTGTATCCCAATTCATAAAATAATGGGGAACTGAATAAATTATAGACACTCACTTCACTTTCTGTGGAAATATAAAACTGGCGAAATCTCTCAAGAGGGTGTACATTCTTGAATCGGATATGGATAGGTTTATTCATAATTTTATTTGTCACCTCTAGTAGATCAGTTGGCATGGTAGGAGTCAACAGAATGACCTGTAATATAACATTTATATCTCATTTACATTTAACCAATTCTTCTGTCAGGGCATGGGTGACCTAATGGTTAACATGTGCGTGTTGCATCATAAGGTCTATCATTGAGTCAAGTGGTGTGGTTTCGATTTCCGGCTGGTAAGTGACAAGGAGTAAGGTCGCCTGTCTAACCTCATGTGTTTTCTCTAGGATCTCCGGTTTCCTTCCTCTGCTAATGACCCTTACACACAAGTGAACAAAATGAAATAAAATTGAACCATATGTTAGTCTCGAAATGACCTAGTTTGTGTCGAGTGGATGTTAAACCCAATTCCTCCCCCTCTCTCTAATTCCTCTGGCCTAGGGCCTCAAGATCTAAAGAGCCTACAACAAAAGGTGTATAATATTTTTGACACTGTCATAAAGCCTTCTTACATGCTATGTAGTCTTAAACATCCTCATTATCCTTGGCTTAGCTTAGTTGTGTTTGTAATACACTTTCATCTTACTCTAGTACTTAAAGGCTCAATACCACTCTTGTTGTAATTGAATAATATGTCCCAATCTTTATTCTGGTCAACAAATTGTACTATTTTACAATATTCCAATTAATTGATGATACAAATTTCATCTTAACACACCCAATTTTAAAAAAATTGGAAAAATTCAAATAAATGATTTAAAAAGCCTGTCGTAAAGCTTTTCAAATGTGACTTGGATTTAAAAATAATTTTGAACCCTCTGGACAAGTAAAATAGGATTTAATGGATAATTTACACAACAGGTAGGACACTATCACATCTAGTACTTAGAATAAGGCTATTTTTTTATTTTCTGGAGCTGTCAAGCCAGCAAGAGTGTTATTGTCCCTTTAAGAGATTAGGAGGGGCCTCACACATGGAATAGCCTATACGGCCTCTCTCCATCCAAATCTGGCACTGGACTGACTTGTTAATAAACAATAGAATGCAAATGCAGTGATTGGAAGAAGTATTTTGCCATTTTAATAAATCTATTTTGATTAGAAGAAGTTATCATCATAGTCTCTCTAACTAAAAACATTTGTCCTTTAGATCTGAAATCAGTTCAATTATATTAAGACCTTTGCCCCATCTCTTTCACAATCTTTTATAAGTTTTGGATGAATGTAAATGGGGTGTTAACTCTGAATTTTGATGGGGTTTGTCCGTGTGACCAAATGAACAATCTGTGACAAGAACTCCCAACTTGTAGACATTGATAACCATAACAATAACAACTTGTTGTAACTACAGAGGAGGAATTACCTGAATTTCAGTTGGCATTTCACTAAAAACATCATAAATCTGATCTTTAAAGCCTTTTGATATCAGTTCATCAGCTTCATCTAGTACAAACAGTTTTATACTGTTTGTTCCTATAATAATAATAATAATAATGTCAAAATATTAACAAAAAACATAATATAATAAGCCAACAGTGAGGCTGATGTTCCCCCGCCAAAATCCCAAAATAAATAGATGACACATATTAATTTATCGCAAATTTATTTTTTTTCAAAAGTATCAAGCAATCAAACACTAAGTTTCATCAATCTCTACCAGATTGAATTGCTTAGCTCTGCTTAGCTCTAGCTCGAAATGTTAATCATTGAACTCTATCAAGGCATTCACCTAATAAACACCTACGCCAAGTGTGAACATTCTAGCTCAATAAGAATGAGAGTTATAGTGTTCCAAAGTCTCAACCAATCAAATGGCTTATCACTCTGCTTACACTCAGCAGAAAATGCTCATTATCGAACTTAGTCAAGGTATTGATGTTATAAAACTATCCACCAAGTTTCATCACTCTCACTTAATTAGAACTAAAGTTATTGTGTCCCAAAGCATCAACCAATCAAATTGTTTATCTCTGCTTACCCTCAGCAGAAAATGCTGATCTTCAAACTCCATCAAGGCATTGACCTAATAAACACCTACACCAAGTTTGAACATTCTAGCTCAATTAGAAGGAGAGTTATTGTGTCCCAAAAAGTGTGACGGACAGACGGACGGACGG